CCTTGATGAAGGTCACGCTTGTGTGAATGAAGTTCTAGACATAAGAACAATGCCAAAGTTTCCTCTTTGGAAACAATTTTAGGAAGAGACAGTTGCAGCTGACCTGCTGTTACAAGTTCTTTGAACAGGAGCACAGGGCAAAGCACTTAGATGGCTGCCTATATGCCATCTTTGCTTTGCACTTTCCAGTGAACACATACCAGACTAAGATGGTCCTAAAAGGAAGGCTTGTTCAGTAAATAGGATTTTGAGGTGTTGGATTTTAATTTCTCCTGCTGTTTCTGCACCTGACTGTGGGCAAGTTGCTTATCCCAGTCTTTCAGTGTCTGATCTTCCCTATTCCAGGAGGGAGCCTGGAAGGATGATAGTTATTAAGGATTAGAAGGTGGCATGTTACCCTGAGGTAAATGCCATACAGATGGCAGCAGCAGATGGCTTCGAGGCCATGTGAAATGCAGTTACATGAGCCGTTTGAGCAAACAGCATATAACAGCATCGCTACCAACTTAAACCAGTCTAGGCCTGGAAAAGGAAGCACTAGTGCCCTGGAGCTAGCAGTCTGGAGCTGTTCTGTTCGCTTGAGGCAGAGAGATCTGCCAGTGCATATAAAAGACTTTACAAGGGTACCTAAAGGCAGGGTGGGCAAAGCACCGATGTCTGCTAGGATCTGCAGCTCTTTTGGTGGTGAGCAATAGTAGAACAAGTTCCTGAATCCTTCCAGGTCTTTACTGTATGTACTTGTGTGGTCACTGTCACATTTCACGGTCTTGAAAGTGTTTGCTCTTTCTGTACACCTATGAAGGAAACAACAGTGCTACCCACACGTTTTACAGGTATGGACAGATTCCAGTGTGTCCTGTACAATGATATGCTGGAAGTCTGCAGCAGAGCAGGCAATTGAATGCAGGGGGATCCCCAAGTCATAGGTTAATGCTGAAGCTATTGGATTCTTCTTCTCCAAAGTTAAGCCCCCTGCTTCTCCCACATACATTGAGGTGCTTGCAGTCTGTGTTTGCAAACAGTTTTATTTTTCCTTCAGTCTGGAGCTGGATTTAACTCTGAGCAGAAGGGCTTGAATGTCTGCCCTTGGCAGTCCTCAGCTGAGCAGTGATGGTTTCTGAGGGCCAGTCTTATTTGTACAGGAGCTTGATTAAAGATGTGTGAGAAGTTCTGTTCAAGGGAATGGAAAGCCCTTGTCTGCGTTCAAAATGCTTAGGAGAGTGTTTCTTCCTCTGCCGTGGTGCTGGGTAGCCAGAGCCCTGTTTGATTTACAGAGAGGAAGTAGCGCTTGTGTACTTCAGGGCTAGAATCTAACAGTTATGGTTCTACGGATTTGAGCTCCGTTAGTGAGGGAACTGAAGTCTGACTGCAGCATTTGAAAGCAAACTTCATTTTTCCATGATAGGCAAAATTAAAATTCCATATCCAAATGTTTCCAGACGGAGTGGTTTAAAATTGTTTCCCAGTTCCTAAAGACCAGTGTGTTTGAATTCATATAGTGTTTGCATTGCCGACTCAAATCTGAATCCCAGAAGGAGGTCCTGTTTTGGGTTTGGGCTCAGAAAAGAAAGTAGTTGGAATTTCAGGTTAAATTCTGGACTTCTGAAGAATGTGTGGAGGGGGGTTGTTTGTTTGTTTTTGAAGAAGATCTGAGGTTTTGAATTTAGCTGTTTCTAGTTCTTGTAAATGCTGAGCCTCTCAAAATCTGTTGGCTGATGTGACGACGTAAGGAGACAAGTCTGAACTGTGCCCTTTAGGGAACTCTCTAGTTCTGCTTGTTGCCTCAAGGATGCAGTGAAAGGTGCCAGCAGTGTGGGGAAAGGAACATGGTTAAATTGTCATAAAAGAAAAAAATTGGTTATGGGCCGATCTGCCTGCTCTGCTACTGCATATCGATCCCACGCTGACATATGTGGCTTTCTTTAAGAAGCAATTCTGGAGTGTGTTCTGTTTTCTAAGCTAATATCTATGTGTGGAGTAGTATTTGCTTGTACTCGTGTGACTAGTCACTACTGACTCTCTCACAGGCAGCTTGTGAGATCATGACCTTGCTCCTATTTAAAGTATCAGTGGGGGAAAGCCAACCACAGAGGAGCTGCATATGTAGTTCTTGGCAGAGTCTCAGGCCTAGGTTCTGCAACATGCATAGGAATTTTTTTCCCATCCTGTTTCTCCTTAGTTTTTACTTTTTACAGACTAATAAAAATAGAAATGTTTTTCCCTAGATGTTTGCATGGAAAAGGCTCAAATAAGGCTGAGAAGGTAACTGGCTGGTCCAAAGTCACATCTTAGGGGAAGGGGAGTTGTAGTCAGGTCCCTGTGGGACAGCGATTCAATGGGAAGATGTTGAGGGTGCCACTTCTGTTCAAGTTAAGTTACTACTTCTGTTAAGTGCAATCAGAAGAAGCCTTGATCCTTCTCTGCTTATTACATTCTCTGTGGCAACCTTTGCATGGCTTAGTTCAGCTATTCTGACCACATTTGCAGTCGGTAGTTCATGCTAAGCCAAGATTCTGCTCTCTTCTTGTCCTTTGTAGCTGGGGTTGATGAGACCTCACTTGGGTCCCTTTAAATTAAAGAACAGGGTCTGTGCTGTATCCTGACTGAGTTCAGTTGTTTGCTGGCAGTGAGACTCATACAGCACACGTTTTTTTGACAAGCCGTTTCATTCCTTTGAAGAACTAGCTGGAGTTCAGGCCTTCTCTCTGGGTGAAGATGGTACTGATAAGCCAGGTTCTGAGCTTCTGTCTCTGAGATGTGCTAGAGGCTGTGAAAAAACTCTCTCTTGCCATCATATCTCCTGTAAGGTATTTGGTTGTGGAAGGGCATGGCAATAGGTCTGCAAGGTAAGGCAGTAGATTTAGGCCTGGTGAAGTCTGCTTTCACCTTGAGGCTGAGTATGCTGCTAAAAGAATTAGGCTGTGGCAGGAGTTTCACAAGCTATGATTTCCTACTCTGACACGTAGGTTGCATGAAGGTTCAGGTTTGTCCTTCATGCAGCAGAGTACGATGGAGCATTGATTTACTTGGATGCTGATGGTCAACCAGAAGGATGCACGTCTGACTGCTTGAGGTGAGAGGGGCCAGTGTGTACTACCTAGAGACTGAAATAAAGTGGTGTGTTAGTTATGGGGTGAGCCGACTCCTTTGAGGGCTGGTGCTCAGCTGCCTTTCTGCTTATCTCGTTTTGCTGTAGCACTGAGATCACTAAAACTCTGTCACTCAACCAGGCTTATTAGCAAGTGGGATAAACATGTTTTGAGAGCAAAAGTGGAGAGAGAACCTGGAGAAAGGCCTCCCGTGAATTTGGGCTTTGTAGGCAGAAGGAGGGAGAGTGGGAATTAATGAAGAAATGAGGTTGTGGAGCCTTTGGGCTTGGTAATGCAGAGACATGGTAATCTGTCAAGGCCTCATAGAGCATGCAAAGCAAAACTACAGGTCCAAGTTGCCCTCTGCTCCTACCTCTGGGGTTGTGCATACCAGAGCTGGACCATAGCTTGGTGTTCGGTGCCTACCTCTTGCACCTGTTCTGTTTCATACATCATATGGGATGTAAATCATTTGGTAAGTCCAAAATGGAAGACTGGCTGTGAGGATGATATGAGGGAAGAATCAGAACTGGGATACGTGGAGGGAAAGAAGGCTCTGGCTTTTGTTTCTTAATGCAGCGTGCCTAGGCCCTGGCCCATTGTCTCTGTTTGTTACCAAAATATTGCTTCAGTTTCTCGGTTCAGTAAATTGCTTATTGGAGAGCCACAAAATCCTTCCAGCCAGATCTCATTTTAACCCTTTCGTTTGCAAAACAGAGCATGATCTATGAGTGTGTCTAGGCCAGGAAGTAATTAATAGCGAGAACAAGTACTTCCTTGGCTTGCTGCTTTCCCTGGATTAACTAGGATTTAGGAGGTGCGCAGTCTGTGTACATTCAATCAGTTCCCTAGAAACCACCACATACCAGTGTCTTGCTCTTATCTCTGAACTCCATGAGCAAGAAATCTCGGCCACTCAGCACAAGATTGACAGCTCTCGCTTGTCCAATAGATGCTAAAAACCATGTCAGTGTGGAAATGACAGTGGGACAACAACAAAGACATTATCTCTGTGGCAAAGTCAGAGGCAGTTTCCATGGCGATAGAGAAGCTCTGGGCTACTAGTGATGCAGCTGCTGTGTTGGACGGCCTCGGTAGCCTCTTTACAGAGGCTTCTCCAGTAAAGCTATTATGTGCTTCAGTAGCCCTTGTTAGGTTGTATCCAGCTTTGGGACATAAAATGAGGGATGAGGAGAAGGTTTAAAAGGACTGGAGCACTGAGCTAGAAAGAAAATGGAAATAGAAGGGTGCAGGTGTTGCAAGTCTTGGAGTATCCGTAAATGCCAGATGTATAGGGCAGCTTGAGTGCATCTGATATTCTGGTTGTTGCTTTCCTGTGGTATTGCCTACCAACGTTAACGGCACCTAAAGTTTTTATTTCAAGTAGGAGAGTCAGGTTTATATCCTCAAGTCAACTCCTCTTCAAAGTATTGCTCCTGGGTTGAATCCAAAATCAAATAGGTCTCTCTTTCCATCTTGAGACTAGAAATTTCCAGGGGTTTGGAGAAAATAGGTGATCTTGAGACTTCTGCGTCTCAAGTGCTAACATATCTCACAGTTCCCTTGGCCCTTTCTTTTGGGAAGTACTTGTGCTGAGGCAAGGAGAAGTTATGTGAAATTCTTTTAGAGCTCCTCCTGCAGGGTCTTACAGCCTGTGCTTGCCCTTTGCTTATTGGTGGGACAACAGGCACAATGTCTCCAGATTCCCACATTGGAACCACATGTTTTTTGCATCAGTTTTCATCCTCTGTCCACCTGTGCTTTGTGGAAGCTGCAACACATCTGTTGGAAGCAGGTGTAAAACTGCTCAATTAAAATGATCATTTGATGATTTTGATCCAGACTTGTGGTTTTAAAAATCGGTTGCTCTCTTCTGAGCTAGATGCTAGAGATTTGTGTTCTGTCTTTCAGGTGGTGCAGGAGACCGTGAAAAGATGCCTGTCAATCATGAAGCTTTCCTGCTCATGGCTAATTCCCAGAATGAAATGGAAGATTGGGTAAAAGCCATCCGACGGGTTATATGGGCTCCGTTTGGTGGAGGTATTGCAAATAGCTCACATGCACATAAATTAAAACATTTGCCTCAAGGTAAAACATATTCTTGTGATACTAGGATATGTGTAACACTGTAAAATCATTGAGATGCCTAGATAAGCTCTTGGTTGTCTGGAGTGTTTTACAGAGAGGGGTTTGGGCTTGTTTTTTTTGCCAGGGATGGAGAGGAATAGGAGGGGAGGGCATATCTAGACTGTACAACTGACTCACAGTCAGAAGCAGGCAGTGATAACAAACATTGAGCTCTTGCTAGTCCTCAGTGTTTTACAGCTATTTATTATCTGTTCTGTAGGTCTTCCTTATCCGTGTGGATATAAAGGAGTGTGTCTGTTTTTCTCTATTTTCTGCCTCATGGGCAGATGCCCATCTTTAACTTCCATATAGCCAGAGGCAGCAGTGCTTTTCATCTGGCTCTTTTAGGGTCCAGCTGGGAAGAGAGTTGGCTTCAGTGAGTGTGTAGCCTGAAGAACAGCAGCAGGATCAGGCTGAGTGAACACCTGTAAGAAGACAGCTGTTGACAATTCTTGTGTTTAAAACAAACAAAAAATTCGGACTCCCAATATTGATGTTATACTAGAATCTTCAAATTCTCAAGTCAGTAGATTAGATGGGAGGTGTTTTTACAGTTAGGCATAGAGCAGGGGTTCAAAGATATTTTCTGCAGGCTATGCTGCTGATAGAAGCAACTCCTGACTTTGTACTGGACCCTGTACCCTTTGAGTAGCTTGTATGCTACTGATAGGGTTCATGCCATTACATGCAGATAATGGTATCAACCTCTTTTGGGAGGTACAGCTAAAAGTGCCAAATAAGGATTAGGTAGTACTATTACTTTTGCTGAAATGAAGTTACTGTTTTTCCTAGGTCTAGAAAAAAAAAAGTAACCTTAATGCAGTTGGAGAGACTCGAACACTACAAGGTCACTAAGGAGACCCAATGTTTATTAGTATCTTTTGTCTCGTTTTTTTCATTTAAGTAACTCTTGTGAACTTGAGTCTCTGGTAGCAGTTCCTGGTTTGTCTGCAGAAGATATAATCTCCGCTGGTGATGTAATTTTTTCCTAGGCTTTTCTTTCACTTAGCAGAAAGATTGTACAGACAAAAGGCAGCTTATACCTGATTCTAAGAGGTCGCATGAAGTGCTGTTGTGCTGTGCGCAGAAAAAGCACTTTTCATTAGTGGAAACCGATCCAACGTGACTTCTCCTCAAATACGAGTATGTGCTTGTTTTGCTTTCCCTCTGAAGTCCAGTCTACAGTGGAGGGTCTTTTATATGCTGAGCCCAGTGCAGGACCCTGAATTTCCTCCTGCAGAAATCTCGGAATCGGTACTTATGGAACCACTTACAGTGGTCCTTATAGTGTGTTTTATAGCTTTGCTATGTGCATCAAATATATGCTGTGAGGAAAAAAGGAGATGCTTACTGACTGCAAGTCGTACAAATGCCAGCAATAGCCGGGCACTTTAGTGCTCCTGTTATCTGTGCAAAAATTTGTTCATGTGTTTTTGTTAATCTCTTTGAGTAGCTCCAGACCAAACATCTTTTTTTAAGAATTGGGAAATTAAATAATTAACAATCCTAAGATTTTTAAAAAGAAAAAAATGAAAATGACATAAAACCAGAGATGGGTTTCTTTTTATTTTTTGTTTCTTTATGAGGGCAGTATTGGGCAAATTAATCTGCTCTTTTTCTCTAACCTTCTTTGCAAAGCTGATGGGTAAAACTGACTCTTTTCTCAATGGGGGCAGATATTCTTATTGGAATCATTTGATTCCAGGAACTGGGGCTCTAAGAACTGTATGAAATATCAAAAACCAGAGAATAAAATTATGAGAGCGTGGGAGTGCAGCAGTATAGGGCAATATAGGGCAGCTGCTGTTCATTGCTGTTTTCAGATGCTACAGGCTTGATCTGGTTCCTGTTGATGTCGGTGTAAAGACTGCTACTGATGTTGATGAGAGCTAGCTTAAGCTCTGTGGAAGAGAATCACTGCAATTTGCAGAGTTGGAAAGAATTGCAATTGTGTATTGAGGTTTTTCCTTTTTCTGCTTTATCTAGCTATGGATAAAAACTATCCAAGAATATGAGTACATCCTGGGCTGTCAGCTTGGCCTGAGCTCTCTGCCCCAATACTCAAATACACCCGTCTAAAGCTGGCACAGTTATATCTGCTCTGCTCTGCCGTCAGAGCTACGCAAACAGATTCTTATGCCGTGGTTTCATGGCTGCTATGAAGTGACTAAAAGTGCTAGCTCCTGTCAGAAGGAGTAGTCTTTTCCCTCTTGTGTCCCCACCACATTTCATTCTGCTAATACTACTGATTATGCAGCTGTGCAGTAGGAAATGATCTGACAGAGAACAGATTTAAAAAAAAAAAAAAAATTAGTTTTTGGGTGGATTGGCTCCCTGGCCCAGCTAACCATGCAGCTGCAGGAGTAGCATTTCCAGCACAACAAGGACAGTGGGGAGACATGATGGGGTGGAGGAGAGCTCACTCGTTCCTTCTGGTCGCAGCCCACACTTAAACTGGCTTAAAAGAACCATGAAACTGCATCCTGAGTCTATTTTCACTTCACCAAGTGTTTATAGGAATCCCAATCACTGAGAAATAATTAAGTCGTTCAAACCTTTGTCTCCAGATGGTTTCAGCAGGTTTGGAGAAGTGATCAAACCCACTCCTCCTCCATAAGCATCAGAGCAGAGCAATTTCTTTGTGTGTGAAATCCCGGCTTAGCTCAAATGTGGGAGGACTGTAAACATAGCTGTCTGTGTTTTAACTGAATAATTTGAACTCTGCTTTGCTACCACTGCTAATTTGAGAGCCAAGTCTTATCTATCGACACTTTTTAATATATGAAGCTAAAGGAAAGGGTGGGGGGGGGGGGGAAAGGAATTAGAAAGCAGGTTTTGTTATTAGTATGTAAATATCCAGCCCTGGAGAAGGTTGATATGATGTAAAAAAGAATTATGCCAAGATAAAAGGGGAGGTTTGGCCACACTTTTAATCTTTGGTGATATATTGAAGAAAGTTATAAATCAAAAAGGCTGAGGGTATCTTCTTACGTGTTGATGCGGGCACATGAGCTATGCTTAAAGGTGAACAGCAAAGGCTTCTTAAAATGAAATAGAGAACTCCCCAACGCTGCTGAGGATCCCAGATCATTAAAGGAGACACATTTAGGCTTAAAAGCTGTATGGAATGTATGCTTTGAAATACACTTCAAATGCGACCTTAAAATAAAGTCCAGGGGTTCCTAAGTCTTTTGAAGAAGAGCTATCTTGTTTATGGAGAATATGATTTCTAACAAGTCTCCCTGAGTTTCACGTTCTGAATTCTTTAGTCTGTCTCATTCCGAGCAAAGAGTTGAAAGTAAGCTATATGTTTTGATTTTATGTCTTTAGGAATAGAGTTTCTTACAATGGCTTGATAAAAGTGTGTTTTGCAGCACGTTCTGATGGAGGGTGATTAAAACTGTTCCCTCTGATCCTTCTTGACTCCACAAGGGACAAATTTTGCTCTTGAGTTTACACCACTGAATCTCATAGAATTTTTCTATTTTTTTTTTTTCTGTATTTACACCTACAAAACTGAGGCAGAGCCTTTACACAGTAGGTCTAAGTACACCCAGGCTGACACATGCATCTAGAATTACACACACCCATCTAGAACTAGCACCTTGCCTTTCTGCTCTACTACCAAGAAAGCCCTTCTGTTTATCTGGAGTGTCAGTGTCCCTTCGTGCCCTACAGTCATGCTGTTCTGTGACAGCTCTTTAATACAATGTGCTCGTAGCAGTGCTACAGCACTTAAAACATAGGACTCCTGGCTGTGAGCTTGGGTGAGAGTGAGACTGCCTGCATCCTCCCAAGGTGGAGGTGTAAAAGCAGTCAGGTGGGGGGAAGGGGTTCATTATCCCCTCTGTAAGTGTGCAGAGAGGCTGCACTCCCAGCCCGAAGAAATATGGCTACTTTTAAGACACTCCTTGCCTTCTATCACCTCTCAATTGGCGTACCTTCTTCATTTTTATCTTGTAGAAAACATAAAACATAATGTACCTGGAATTGAATTTTGTGTCATGAGGTACAAAAGCTGAGTTTTTGCTCTCTGAGTTGAAAGCCAAGAGGTATAGCTCTCTTACAGCTCAGCACATGATCAGGACTGCATGGGGACAGAATCAGTCTGTGTTAGTTTTTGTGTTATGCTTGAGTTTCTTTCCCTCTGTTTACTTATTCATTCTTGCCACAAGCAGTTCCCTGCTCCTCTGCCCGAAATGCATGTCACAGCCTCTTTCTTTCTCCATTATTTTATCCTAATTCTTCTTTCTCCTTATCCTAAGTTTTCATCTGTTCCTTGTGAGGGAGGGGAGGTGAAGCAGTTGAAAGGGGTGTGCATCTTTTAAGCAAACAAAAAGAGCTTTACCCTGAGACGGAGTAAATATTCTGGAAGAGCTCTGTGAGTGATTCCTCTGCTCTGGAGGAATAGTTGCTTTTTAACTGTTGGATTTTAACTGATGGGAAGAAATGTCCACTGGGAAAGCCACTCTACTGGCATTAATTCCAGTCCACTTCTCCATATAGGTAAACCTTGGATACATGTATCCTTTCTATTTCTGCCAGCAGAACGTTGCAGGGAATGTCGTTGCTGGCGTTCTGGGACCATGTCCAGACCATGCCTTGTACTAGAGGAGAGCTGAGAAGTGTCTGTGGTGTAATTCACTCTCCAGGTTTATGTCTTTGCTGGTAATGGAGGGAAAATCCTACATAGGCCTAATTAGGGACCCTCTTTTACATTAGTACGCAGCTTTTAGATAACGTCTGGATGAGAGCAAAACATGACTATTTTGAAGGGTCATATATTGTTCTTAGATGCATGTCCAACAGGATGGTGGACAGTTTAGGAGTAAGGATATTATGCTAGAATTTGGGAATCCAGGATATTATTCCTTATCTGCTACAAACCCTGTGACCCAGGGTGAGTCATTTTACCTGTGTTGTGTCTCAGTTTCTCCACCTGTAAGATGGGGATTTCCCGG